TCCCCCGCAGCCACCCCCGCGGACACCTCGGGGGGCCGGGCCCCGGAGCCGACCCCCCTGGAGCGCGCGCCCCCGAGGGTCCGCCCAGCCCGCGCAGCCGGAGGGGGCGGGGCCGGGCCGGGCTCAGCAGCGCCCCCTTCCCCCGCGATGACCCCTGGTCCTCGACCCCCCGACATTTCAGCCGGTCACGCTCGTGGCCGTGGAAACACGAAGTCCCCCGTGAACGCGTGAATGCGCGCGCGCGCACACGTCGCGTGCAGGCGCCGCCGCAGACTCGGTGGACCTGCCAGTGTGCGGATTTGGGGTGCGGGCCGCAGGGGTCTCTGACGAGGGGACACGGCTTCCTTCTGCAGCCCGGGGAGGGCAGGGGCCTCGAGGAGTGGAAACGCAAAGCCCGGCCAGCCCGGAGGGCCACCCTGGAAGGCAGGGCTGTGCGGGCTGGAAGGGGACCAGGGCCGCGGGGCCTGGCCGTGAGCGCACGTGCTCCCGCGCTGGCCAGGGAGGCCCTGGAGGGGAGGCTTGCAGCGGAGCCACGCGGGTGGGGTGAGGGAGAGGGTGGGATCCTGGATGAGTCACCCTCGGGGCCACAGGGCGGGAGGGCTGGTGGCAGCCCGCCAGCTTGTTTGGAGGAGGGAGGAGAAAGTCAGACCTCCACTTGAGAGATGTTAGGTTGAGGTGCTTGCGAAACCGCAGGGAGCGGTCAGGGAGGCAGTGGGGGTGGGCGAAACCACCCAGAGGCCAGGGATGGGCCCCACAGGGGAGCTGGGCCTCCAGGAGGCCCGGGGAGCTGTGTTCCAGGGCCCAGCAGGAGGGTGGTCGGTCAGCAGCACTGGTTGTTCCCGAGCTGGGGGGTCCCGAGCCTCAGGAAGGGCGTTGGGAGTGGGTCTGGCGCTCGGGTGGGGGAGGAATGCACTCACCCCCGCGGGCCTCCGCGGCCGCCCACCTTCACATGGGGCCTCTCTCCACCTTCCGCCGAGTGTGCCTCTCAGACCCCAATCTGGGGGGTTTGGAGAGACTGAGGGGTCTGCGCCAGGGGTCCAGCACTCACAGTTACCCATGGGCCCCAGCCTTCGCCCCCCTGCCGCTGCAGTTGGTCACCAGGGGAGACAAAGAGCCCCTTGGGCGGCCGGCTGTCAGCCTGAATGCCCTCAGGGTACAACGAGGCAGGCCCTGTGCCCCCAGGGGCCCTGAGAAGGCGAGCCCTTCCTTGGCAGCCCCTCACCGGCGCCCACCCTGCACAAAGGCTGGGCGTCCGGCGAGCAGCGGCGGCTGCCATGCGGTGACTCAGCCACCCGCAGACCCCCGGTAGAGGGTAGGCAGCGCCAGCCACTCTGCGCAGCCCGGTTTGCCACAGGGCCCCCTGCTGCGCCTGCCCCAGCCGCACCGCCGACCTGCGCTGTCCAAACGCCCACTCAGCCCTGCTCCCTTCAGGGCGGCGCACCCAGACCCTCTGACCCCTCCTCGCTCTCCCCAGACTGGGGGGCGAGGACAATGGAATTTGGCCTCAGGAGCCCCTTCTTTGGTGCTGTGTGCTGGCCGCTACAGACTGGTCACCGAGATGCGGGTGAGGCCCTCGATGGCACCCTGAGCCCCCACACCCACCCTCCACCAAGACCTGCCCCTGGGCTCCCGACAGACCCCCAGCCCCAAGGCCCGGTTGGGTCCGGTTGGCAGTTTGGTCCTCCTGGCCTGCCAGCCGGCCTGGAGCATGGGTGCCGTTGGATGTGGCGGCTGCACCTTCCCGCTGCCTCTGCTCTGGGGGTTTTCGGGGTGGGGAGATGGTGCGGTGACCTCAAAGTTGGTGAGCTGCAAACACTGCCCCCCCAGCCTCTTACCCTGTGTTCTTCACTCTTATTCTGGGGGACCTGGCACTCTCCCACCCAGAGGGGGTGTGGATGTGGCCCCCATTCCCGCTGTGGGGCTCAGCCCGTGTCAGCCAGCCTGTTCTGTCCGTTTCCCGTCACCTGGGCAGAAGGGAGTTGGTGGCTGTTTACATGTCAGTGGCTTTGCCTGTGTGGGGCCCCCTCCTGGGATGGTGACAGCCATGCTGGGGCCGTGTGCCTGTGGAACCGTCGCTTTGCACAAGCACGTGTGTGTGTGTGTGTGTGGGGGGGGGACATGTTTTCTTGAATCATCCATGGGCCCTTTTCAAAGGCTAGGCTTGGGGGTCAACCGCCCATGCTACCCCGAGTTAGTATGGGGGGCCGGGGAACTGGCCGACCACACTGGGCAGAACCATGTGGTGAGCGAGGGGTGGTGGGAGCCTGCTGGGGGCGTTCCTGGGAGTCCCATGTTCCGGACATTTGATGTGGACACAAACCTCTCCTCACAGGTACCCTCTGTACCAGCTGGGCAACCCCCAGCTCCGTGTCTTCCGCACCAACTTCTTCATCCGGCTGGTGCGGCCCGGCGGGGCCCAGCCCGAGGACACCGTGCAGTTCCGGATCCCCCTGGAGTGAGTGGGGGAACGCAGGCCCCGCGACGTCTTCCTGCTATGGAAAACGCTGCAGGCAGCGCCACGGGGCTCTGCAAATATTGACCGAGGCCTGGTGTTTGCAGAGGCCGCGCTGGGCCTCCTCCTCCTGGAGAAGCTGTGGCCAGCCTGAGACGGGCTCCCTCTCTTGAATGGAGTATCTCCGCTCTTCCCGGGAGGCCGTGCCCCCAGAGCGGCCCCACAGCCGCCAAAACCTTCGCCCTCCGGATGGTTCCTTTATGGGGCTGTGCATGGACCGAAGGGGCAAAGCCTCCCTGTCACCCAAGCTTCAGGACACTGCTCTAGACCTTAGGATGTGACCATCCCCGGCATGGGCCCAGGGGTGGCTTGAGCTTCTGTGAGCCAAGAGTCCTGTCAGCCCTCAGGGAGCAGGAGAGGCTGAGGGCCCGAGTTTCTGATGCATTTAAGGTGAAAAGGGATCGGGGCCTAACCTGCCAACCACCATCATTTCTAGGAAGCGCCCCTCAGGCCCGCATAGTAGGATGGAAGCTGTAGACAGACCGGTCCGGGCTCCCGGCAGCCAGGGGGCACTCGCAGACCGTCACCTCCCCGGGAGTTTCCCCGGGGGCTTGGCCTCTTGGCCTCACAAACAGGTCTACCAGCAGGAGGGCGAACGGGACTGACTTGAGTCCAGGGCGCCTGGGGGCCCGGTCCCTCCATCACCCTCACACTGATGTGTCAATGGGACCAGCTGCTAGGTCTCGGGGGTCTGTCCAGCCTGGCCTGGGCCCTGGCGTCACCCACGAGGCTGTGCCCTCGCCCCGGAGGCTGGGCTGTTGCCGACCTCAGCCTGGTCACACTTCCCTTTCCGTGTCCTTCCCCAGGATGACCAGGGTGGACCTGAGGAATTACCTGGAGCGCATCTACAATGTGCCCGTGGGCGCCGTGCGGACCAGGGTGCAGCACGGTGGGTGCCGGGGCTGGGCTGCTGCCCTGCTGTGTGTGTGGGTTGCCGCCTCCTCCGCCTCACTCAGGCCATGCTTTTCTGGACCACCAACCCGCTTCATCCTCGCAGACTCTGGTTCTTGGCACAGGAGGAAACTGAGGCACGGGGTGTTGTGGTGACTTCTGGGGTCGCACTTCTCACGGGGCAGAGCTGGGTGAGCAGAGCCTGTGGGCTGGCCCTGCGGTGCGGTGAGCAGGGCCCCAAACCTTGGCCTCCAGCTCTAGAGGCTGCGTCTGCAAAGCGCTTTCTTCATCCCCGTAACCCTTTCTCCTTCCTCCCTTGTCACACTGTGTCCCTGTGCTGTGACTCTGAAGACCTTAAGTCTAAGGTGAGGACAGCTAGTGAGAGCGCTGTGCCAACAGGGGAGAAGTCGGCCCCTTGAGTGGTTTTAGACAACTCTGGGTTTTTGCAGAGAGCAGGCATGCGAGGTCTGGCTCTCCCTCGGAGCACAGTCAGGAAACTTGAAGCAGCCACCTCTGGGGTGTGATGTGCTGTCATCTGTAGACAAACTAATTCTTACAATGTTTGTCTCTTTCTAGAAAGTGGGTTCTTGGATTGGTTGGACTGAAAATGTCGTGCTGGCAGTAAAGTTTCTCTCCCCCCGACAGGTTCCAACAGGAAGAGAGATCATAGGAGTGTCAGGCTGAAGAAACCAGACTACAAGGTGGCCTACGTACAGCTGGTGAGTGCGCGAGGGAGCGTAGGGCGGCAGGGGCAGAGTCTGGGAACTCATCGTGACCGACAGTGACCTTGGTGGGGGGCTGTGCTTGTGCAGCCTCCACCACGGCCTGGCCTGGGGGGCCAGGGAGGCCTTGGGGGGCAGGATCTCAAGGTCCACTGCCTGAGTTCTCATCCGCAGTGAAACCCCTTGAGGAGCTGGGGTTCAAAGCACAGTTAAGCCAGTGGGAGGAGACGGGCTGGGGCACTTCGGAATTCTCAGGGGCCACCCTTGTCGAGCCTTTGAACTTTGAACGTGCCGTGGGCAAAAGCAGCCCACCCAGGCCTAGGGGATTTGGGCTCTGACAGAAAGAAACCAGATCATGCTGAGCTGAGCAGCAGAGGCCGCCTTCCTCTGGAGAGCCTGTCCTTGGACTGTCCCCAGGCCAGGAGGCAGTTAATTGCCGTTAAAGCCCCGGGTACAAGTTGCTGCAGGGGGCCTGGGCTTCGATCCCAGACCGGTTTGGTGTGACCCCCTCCCAGCTGGCTTGTGGCCCCCAGCACTTCCCTGCAGGCTCTATCGTCACTGTCTCCAGCCTGGCCAAGGGCTCTGGGGGAAGCGTCCGGCCCGCCTGGGCCTTTACTGACCCAAACCCAGAGCTATCGAGAGTAAGATGCACATTTTCAAAGCCCCGTTTTCAGGCTCTTCCAGTGTGAGCTGACCCCGCAAGTGTGAGCTTCCTGAGATATGCTTTTGACGGACACCAGGCCCCGTGTTCTCCAGGCAGGGTCTTCTCTCACCCGGGCAGGCGGCCTTGGCCCACCACGGGCTCCGTGGGAACCTGCCAGGGACTGCCCTGCTCGCAGGGTCCATTAACTGCCCCCCTGCTGTTTGAAACCTGGGGGGTCTTCCTCCGATTTCTCCAGTTTCTGTGTAAACAGCCCGCGAGCAGGAGCCGGCCAGGGGGCGGCCTGCCGCTAGATGGCAGTAGCGCTATTGTGAAAACCCTGCAGCCCTCCGGCCTATTTCAGGCTTCGGGAGGCATTTTGTTAAGAGAGCGAGTTAACATGGCAGCCTTTCTGAAAAACAGTCACAGCTGTTGTCCTAAACAGGGGCCCCGTAATTATTTGGCCTAATATTTGCCGTGCATAAAATCAGCCAGTGCAGGGGGAGAGAGCACCGCTGGCCTTCTAAAGAAAGACGCCTGTGTCCTGTGTGTCGGCCCGGCCATCCGTCTTTGTCATGGCGTGCCGGTTGACATCCCATATGTTCGCATTCGCCACGAGGCCCTTCACAGGAGAGCTATAGTTACAAGTCATCCGAGCCTCACACATTTTTGCCCGGGCCCCCCCTTTGCTCATGAAAACCGAACTGAGCAGCGCTTAGATCTACTGTCTGCAGCTGCCGCTCGGCCACCTTTCTTCCTCTGCGAACCCCAGGCAGCGAGAGACAGGCCGCCCCAGTGGGAGCACAGGGTGTCCCTGCTGGGCACTGTTCCTGCCACTCCAGAATTAAATTTGTAACGCCCCACCCCCTCGCCCGCAGCTCCAGCAGCTCTGTGCCGGGCCTGCAAACCCAGGCTGGGAGGTGGGGCCCACACCCTCTCCAGGGGTCCATCCTCTGTCCCCCGGCTGCCGAGGCCGCCGGCCTCTGCTGGAGTGTCCCTTTGGGCCCGCTCTGGGGCTTCTAAAAACAGAGCTAATTGTAAAGCACACAGAGGGTCAATCAGAAAGACAAATTAAATCACCAGATTTATTTTGAGTTGGCTGCTGCGGAAAAGCCGGTCTCACCCGGTGGGAGTCCCACATTTTCCCCCCCTCTGACAACCTGATAAACATCTCTTTGGCCCAAAGTCCAGCTCCGGCGAGGGCCTCCATGGCCCTCACAACAAACAGAGCGTTGACCTGCTGCGCGAAGCCTGGTGTTTACACAGCGCGCAGGAATGAGCGGCGGCCGCCGCGGCCCGGCCGGAGCACGTCCGCAGACGATGCCCGGGGCCCAGGATTGCTGCCTGGGCCGGTTTCTTCACTTTTATGACATTTTCCTGCTTCCCTGTACTTTTCCACGGTCAGCTTGCTTTCCTGTTCGGAAGCATTGAGGGGTTTGCTTTGAAAGTACAAGGTGAATTTCTCCAGAAAGGGGCCTCCGTCGGCACCCTCCGGTGTCCCATCACCCGCCTGTAAGGAACCATTCCTTTCCCGCTTCCTCCGTTTTTTTTTTCCCCAGGCGATTGCAAATTGCCATCTCTGTATTTATATTTAAAATGTCATTTTGGGTTTCCCCCACCTCAGAAAACTAGCAGAATCACCTCGATATATTAAACATAAACCCCCGTTCTGGGCAGCCAGCCCCGCATGTAAACTATTGCCCTTTGGTATTTTAAAAAAGGGAAAAAAAGTTTTGAAATGTGTAAGATAATCCTCCCGCGGGCTGGCTACCGAGCGCCCCGCGGCTGCTTCTCGTCACTCCAGGCCTGCTCTGCTCACCACGTGACCTGAATGTATAAACCTCACATTCTCGGGGGGCGCATGGGGGCCGTGTCCGCTCGCACTTGGCTGCCTGCCCACATCCAAATCTCTTCACAAAACAAGGGTCTGCAGGAGCCCAGCACGCTGAGCGGAGCTTCCCAGAGGCCAAGCCGCCCCCGCCTCCCTCTACCTGCCTGGGGCACCCCCCCCCTCCATCTCTTATCTTTGCAGCTAGGACCCTCCCTCCCTCCACACTGGGCGGCTGGTACCCTGGCCTTCAGCCTGGGGGGCTGGGTGGACATGGGCACGTTCTGAACCTTTAGTGAGAGACGTAAAAGCCGTGGACGTGAAGACCGGTCCCGGTGCGCAGATAGCTGCACGTACACATTTCTTGTGTTTGCCAAGCCCCGAGCTGGGAGGGGGTGGCCTCTAATGCGGGTAAAGGCCCTCGGGTCTTTTAGGTGGAGAAGGTTTGAGGCGCCCCAGTCACTACTGGGCCGTTTTCCTCACTCCTGCCCGCGCCTGACCGGGCTGCCTGCAGACACCGCTCCTAAGAGAATGGTCGTGCAGGGGGCCACGGTGCAGACAAAGGCGGGAGCCTGGCCACCCAGGGTGTTTCTTTTCCAGGCAGGGACATCCCTGGGAGCGTGGCGTGGGAGCGGAGCCCTGGGCAGACCATGGTTCCTGTAAAGCATGGTGGCCTAGGCCGGCCCGCAGGCCCCACAGGGGCTCCTCGCGTTCCCCACCGCTGGGGGCCGCAGAGCCGCCCCTGCCCGAGCTCAGCTTTTCTCTCCACAGGCACATGGACAGACCTTCACGTTCCCAGACCTGTTTCCTGAGAAGAAGCTGAGCCCTGAGGGTGGCCCTGCTGACGACGACATCCGGGACGAGCTCCTGGAGGCCCAGCGGCACCGGGAGAGCCGAGACCCCAGGCGTGGGGGCGTCCCCCAGTGGTTCGGCCTGTGACGGGCCAGCTGATAGCTCAAATAAAGTGCATGTGGACAAAGGGGGCAGGCTCCGTTCCTCTGCTCCGGGATCTGGGCGCAACAGGCTGAGGCCGAGCTGCCAGTCACGGGCACCCTGCTCCCCGCATGAGCACACGGCAGCCATCTGCACAGAGGGCCCACACGCCACATGTCTAGTCCTGGTCCCCTGAACCTGGGACGAGGCCGGGACCCCCACTCCGGTGTGGAAATGATGTCTGCCTATGAAAGTCACCCAGAAAGCACTTCTGAGCGTCTCCATCTAAGCTCCACCACCACCAACACACACACACGTTAGGGGGGTCCCATGAGCGTAGGGTTAGGGGGTGGGCTGGAGCGTGTGTGCGCCCGCCAGGGCCCGTCCAGGCCAAGGCCCCCTTTGGCACGCATGGTGGGTGTTGAGTAGGTGGGGGGGGGGGGCTGCAGAGGGCCCCAAAGGAAGTCGTGTTTAGGAGAAACGGGCTAACCCCAGAGCGAGGCAACAGGAAACGGGGGCCAGATCGGGGACAGTGCCGGTCCAGGGGCTTGGACCATGACGGTAGATGCGTCGAGGACGCGAGGCCCTGAAGGCCCGCAGTGTCCCTGGGTATCGGGTTCCTGAGCCCCGAATCTGAGCTCTGCACTAAAAGCCCCACCAGGCAGCATGGCCGTTCCCTGGACGGTGGAGGCGGCGGCTGCCTGGGAGCCAGGGCTGCGCGAGGGCGCCTGGAGGTTCGACGCTGAGAGGCTGGGAAGCGAGGGAGCCAGCCACGTCGCCCCTGGGGGAGGGGACCCCGGGGTCCTGGAACCCGGCTCTGCAGCGCTGCCCCGCTGTGGTCTGAGCCAGGGCCCCCCTCTTCTCCCCTCGGGGGCTGCCCCTGAGGCCTCGCAAGGGGAGCCGGAAGCGAGGAGCTGGCTCAGCCAGCCCCCTCCACCCCGAGGGACCCCGACAGGATGGCGGCTTCACGCACCCCTCCGCCTGGCGGGTGAAGGTCCGGGCAAACTCCGCCCTTCAGTGTTGATTTAAAGTGACGGGAAGGTCCGGAAGTGGACCGGAGACCTAGGCAACGGTATTTTCCTAAGAGAAATAATTCATGGGGCCCTGCGGCCCCGAGGACCCCAACTCAAGGCCGGCGGAGGAATCCCATCCTTCATCGGCTGCACTTCCCGCAGCGTCCGCCCCCACACGCGGCTCCCCCGCCCGCCCGGCCCGGGCCTGCCGACCCTCCCCATCGCCGCCCCCAGGGGCCCCTCCAGGCCGGGGCGGCTGCTCCCCACTCTTCCTGCCAGGGGCGGGGGAAGGGGCCCCAACTACAGCGTCCTAGGTCTCCCCAGCGCCCCAGGGCCGCAGAGCCCCTCCCGCGGCCCAGCCGCAGAGCCGCTGGGAATGGGGGGGAAGTGGAAGGGTCTGGCCGGGGCCCCACGGCGAGGGGAGGCCGTGCGGGGGTGGGGGCTGCCTCGCGGGACGCTCAGAAACTCAGGAAGTGGGCCGGCAGTTGGGGGCTGCTCTGCCCCCACCCCAGGCACAGAGCCTTGAGAAGGGGCTGGAGAGACGCCCCGGTCCCCACCCAGGAGCCCCCTGGCTTGAGGCTCAGGGAGGGAGAGAACCGGTGCCTTGGGGGGGCTCATCTCTGCCCCTGAGACCACGGGTCCCACGCGTTGGCTTCTCCGTGACTCCACTTCCCCTCTGGTTGCATAGCTGGCCTGGCCCCACTGTGCTGCCTCCATGCAGGGGAGCCAGGGGAGGGTCTCCTGGGGGCCCCCAAGCTGGGCCCCAGCCTCCCCGTGGTTAACTGGGCAGGACCCCCCATGTGACCCAAACAGCCTGTGCGCTTCTGCAGGGAGAACTTGGGTGGGCTGGCCTCCGCTGGACACCCTCACAAGGGGCCCGGAACGGGGGAGGGGCCCTGACCCAGGGGGCCCTGGGGCTCCCCTTCCCCTGCGGAGGCCTCCTGCTGGGAGCTCCTGGCCCAGATGCGAGGGGGGGCGGGAGAGGAAATGGCTGAGGGCGAGCGGGAGAGCCCACAGCACTGCCCCCAGGTCCCAGCCTGTGCCTGTCACGGTCCCCGTGGGCCACTCTGCAGGAGGGGGTGGGAGCCAGGTTGCCGCAGCCAGAGCCCCGCAGGGAAGGGGTGGTGGGGGCTGGGCCAAGGCCTCGGGGCCCCTGGGGACTGCCGGGCTCTGCTCCGCCAATGGGCCTCACTCCTCTGACTGCTGAGGGCTTAGTGCCGCGCGGCCCGCAGCGAGCGACCCAGCGGCTCCAGGTGAGGCCCAGGCTCCCGGGGCCTCTGGGAGGGAGCTGGAACCCATCTGGCCAGTTTCTCCTCAGCGTCTGGTTTTTTTCTCAGGGGCCAGCAGAGTTTTCTCTGGGCTGTGTCACGTCGTCACCCCAGCTCCAAATGCACCCCTCAAGTGACTCACTGCAGGGGATGGCTGGCCGGGCCCCTCTGCTGAGGAGTCCCAAGTCACATTGAGGTTGTCCACACATCTTCTGGCCTCGGTGTATTCCCCACTGCCCCCTTCCCGCAGGCCCCCAGCCCTTAGCAGGGGACCCAGACTCAGGAACACACCCCACCCTGGTCTTAAAAACACAGCAGAAGCTAAAGAAATCAGGTCCCTTGAAGGTAGCTCTGGAGAGACCATGGTCACGTAGGGCTTGCCTCTCACCTCCCGACCTTCATGTGACTAAACTATTAGTGAATGAATGGTGACCCACCAAATTCGGTGGGTCAGGTGGGAGAGCCCTGCCGGCATGTTCCTAGGGGTCTGGGAGTCAGCTCAGGCCTGGGAGGGCAGGCAGTGAAGTACTGAGTGACGTCCCCAGCGCAGGCACCTCTGCCAGGGGTCACAGTCCTCAGTGAAGCCGTAGGCTGTGGCCCCTGACTTCCAGCTGTGCTGAAGTGCCAACGCCCACGTCACACAGGGCAGAAAGGGCCAGGCACGGGGCGTTCTTGTCTATTTTCAACAGCTTTACTGAGATACAGTTCACATACCCTACATACAGTCCAGCCACGCAACGTGTGTTCGATGCCTGAGCTGCGTGTCTGTCACTGTGATTGAGTTTCGGACGTTCCCGCGTTGCCCAAGCAGCAGTGTTAACCGGCACGTCCCAACCCCCTCCCCCTGGCCCTGAGGACTTGGCGACGGACCTGCTTTCCATCTCTGTGGATCTGCCTGTTCTGGACATTTCATAGATATGGATCATATACGTGTGGCCTTTTGTGATTGGCTCCTTTCACTCGGCACAGTGCCCTCCAGGCTCACCCGCTTTAACGCTGAGTCATTCCCTGTGTGGGTGCCGACGCAGCCCGCCCGCTGAGGGTGGGTGTGGATTGCCCACCTCGGGGTCCACGCTTTCTGGTGCACGTATGTTTGCGGTGCTCTAGAAGGTCTTTCCAAGTCCCTAAAAGGCCTCAAAGGCTGCAGAGAAATGGGGCCACGTCCCGAGATGGTCCCCGCTGCTGAGGTCTAGACGGGCGGGTCCCCCAAAGGGCACATCATCCGCAGTCCGGTCCCACGTGAGCCAGGGGGTGGGGGTCGGGGGCTCCCACCACAGCAAGGCTGGCCCTGGGAGGGGGTTTCCAGATACCTTTCCTGTGCCCCTCTCTTTCTCTAAATGCTGCACCCCAGGTCCTCCCTCCCCTCAAAGCTCTCACCCTCCGAAATCCTTGTTGGGCCAGGTTTGGTGGCTGGGCTCCTATGTGTGCTGTTCCCTGAATGCTGGGGGGCCTCAGACTGATCCCCAAGTCGCATGTGTGCGGGTGCCTGTCCTGTCTTTGCAGCTGACTCTGAGTCCCTTCGGGGCACAGAATGCACCTCTCCCGGCCCCCAGAACCCCTCCACTTCCTGATCTCCCCCAGGAACCTCTCAAGGTTTGCACCCAGCTCAGCCTGGAGGGAGCTGTGCCCAACAAAGCTCGGCCCCGGGCACCCCGAGATGCCTGTGGGGACGCGAGGGCCCCTGGCCTTGGAGGCAGCCGGCCCAGGACCGTTCCCCACGTGGTCCACGCACGCAACCTGTTTAGCATCTGCAGTTCTCCTTCCTGGCTGAGATCATCTCCAGCACCAATCCCCCCAAATCACTTCATTATTTCTTTGTAAATAGGGCTTTTCCTAGTCAAAATAATCAGCATTTTCTGTTGCTCCCACATCTGGCTTTGATTGGCTCCAGCCTCGTGGGGCGGATGCTGGAGCCCTGACGTGATGACGGAGGGAAGAGAGGTGGCCTGCTTTCCTTCCCGCGCAAGGCCAGGCCTGGGGGCGGGGGGGACCCCAGTCCTCTCCCCACACAGCTGTGCTCCCCGCCCGGGCCTGGCAGTGGGGGTCCCTGGTTCCGTCTTTTCAGAGTTGGGGCCCTGGGGGTTCCCCCCTCCACAGAGATCCCACGAATGCATGCAGGATATATTTCAGCTCCTGGTCTCCCTCACCCCAAGGCCAGAACTGGCCAGTCCATCCTCCGGAAACTTCGCCATCCCCTCTCATGGACAGGGAGGGTTCGGGCCCTTCTTCACAGAGTTAAGGGAGGAGGGGTTCCCCCGTCTGTCATCCCTGCACCTTCCCTCCTTTGGGGAGCTTGAGGCTGGGAGATGGCTGGGGGCTCCGTTCTGACAGGAGCTCCCCCGCCCTCCGCTCCTGCCCGCGTGGACACTGACACTCAGAGCGCACCTGGACACTGCTCCCCGGGCCCCCAGCAGTGTCCCCGAGGCAGCTCTGGTCTGGGTGGCCAGCGAGCTGCCCTGCGGGGGAGGTCACCTCCTCTTTCCTGTGACCCGTCTGTCCTGGGGGTGGCAGCCCCCCCACCTTCCTGTCCCGATGCTGGGCCAGTGGTGGGCCCAGGTCATTCTGCTGCTTGTGGTGAAAGGGTGGCACACACGCCAACGTTACTGGAAGACGCTGCTGTTTGCGTGATTGTGAAAATGCTCGAATATCCTGGGAAGCGTCTCTCACTGTTCATGAGATGAAACCAGCACAGGCGTGTGGACATGGAGGCGGGGGACCTGGGCCGTCCCTCCTGGGGCCATGACAGTCTATATGGTGCAGAGGTTA